CTGTGTGCTTTGTTTGATTAGCTTCGGCTAATGGCAAAGTACTCTGGGGACATGAGAAGCATCCCAGGGCTGGGAGAGACCTCAGGTAATTAGACCTCTAGCCACCCCTGCTCTAAGCCAAGACCCCACTCTCCTCCCTGGGGGGGGATAGGATACCTCGCTTCTGATCTAGATGGGCTCATCTCTCTCCCACTGTGGGAAAGTAACCAGGCATCTGGGCTCCCAGCCCCTCCCACTCAAACCCACCAGACCCCACCCCCTGCACAGACTTGAAGAACCCAGGTGTCTGGGCTCCGAGGTCCTCCAGTTGCACCCACCAGACTGCAGCCCTGTCCCAGAACAGAGAGAGAACCCAGGTGTCCCGAGTTCCACTCCCCTGGGTCTTATCCCACCCCTCTCTCAACCAGGGCAAAACCCAGGCCTCTGGGGTCCCACAATCCTCCTGCCTTTCCAGTGATTTCTCTGCTCTTTGCCCTAATTTTGCAATGGTGCCAATGCTGCCAGCAGTCCTTCGAGGACCACCCATTTCTCCCTGGGGTAAGGAACGCTCTGTGAGTTTTCCAGCTGCCAAACCCTTGGCTTTGCCCTGGATTAACGCCGTCACTCCTCCCCTGCCCAGAGCCATTGGGCATGGAATCTCCTTACCTCACCGTGGGTCCTGTCTCAGAGCAGCAAGGGAACATCTACACTGCAGGTTGAAGGCAAACAGGGTGACACATTTTGGCAGGCAGCTCATGCTGCTGGGAGGGAGAATTGGGCCAGATGCCTGGGTTCTCCACCTTGAGATTAGCCACGAGAGCACCTTGTTATAGCTGCAGGTTCTGAAGGAAACAAACTGTTGTACTTAGCAGCAAGACTCAACTAGCATCGGGGTGTGCAAAGGGAAAAGGGAACACACAGCTGCACGAGCAACCTTTAGGGGAGACATGGACAATGAAGTACCATAATTTCTCACATATAACATGCCCTAGAATACAGCACCCCCCTTATTCTTGAAAGACAGAATGATGAAACCCGCCTCCCCCATTTTTCCTCGTATTAAAGTAACTCGTATTACTTGTATTTTCCTCACATTAAAACGGCAGCAAGGGGGCCGGGCCTGCTCTCTGTGGATCGCCTGCTCTCTGTGGATCTCAGCATATTTTGCTTTTGGTTTTACCAAGAAAAGGGCAGAAATGGCTCCTACCATATTTCCTGCACATAACTTGCACTGTGATTTCTAACAGCTGGGTTTTTCTTTGGAGAGAGAAACGTGCACTGTAGGTAAGAAAAGATATTAGCTGCTCATCCAAACTGAGGTGTAACAGCCTGTGCCAGGGACAGCCACCTGAGCCCTGCACCCAAGCTGCACTTGGTAGAGAGCTGCCAGTCCCCACCTCCTCCCTAGGATGACAGAGCAAGTTCCTGTTACAGTTAATTAACAGATGCTCATCCATTTGGAGCCAGGTCAAGATGGCAGCTGGTGTGTTATAGGCAAGAAATTATGGTACTTGGGCCCTTTTCCCAATGTGGGGTGGCAGGTCGGGACACCATTTAAAATGGAAGCAGAAACAAATAGAAGTTCATCACAATGAGCTACAACCAGTCTGCCTGGCTGCGAAACAGGAGCTTTGTGACCAGGAGCAGTGAACAGCCGGTAAGACTGAAGAACAAAGGAGAGCTTGATTGGTGGACGTGAGCAGGGCTGAGGAAACACTAAGCGGTGATGAGAGAGTCAACAGGGATTTATTATGGTCCATCTCTCACCAGGTAAGAATGAGGGGTCATGACATGAAAGGAGCAGGTCCATCAGTTTAAAATGAGCACCGGGAAGTCCTTTTCCATCCAGCATGGGATGAACAGGGGAGCTTGTGGCCACCAGATGTGGTGGAAGCTGAGAGTTTGGCTCAGATCCCAAAAGGATTGGATCCATTCTTGGAGGAAAGGGGCATCAGGAACTACTGAGCATGGGAATAGTCGGACAGCCTCTGAATCAGAACATCCTGGACCTTCCCAGCTCCACAGAGAAAAGAGGGGGAGGAGTGCTCGTAGGCCAACAGCATTCACACAGGCATCACCCATGCGGCTGCAGGTGGGCAGGGGTCTCCTGGCTGACGGGAGAGAGTTGAAGGTCATGGGCAACTCAACGCCTTCCCCCAACTCCAGGGGCTGACATCACCAGGAAGACAGATGGCAGCAGAAGGTGGAAGGCACCAATCACATCAACCCCCAAGCTAGAAGCAGCCAGAGTTGGGAGCACATGACCTCCATCCATGCAATAGCATGGTTGTGGTTGCTTTCTTGTGGACCCAGCAGCCCCCATATTCCAGTTGAAGAAGATGGAAACTGTTCTCCCCAGTCTGGGAACGGGCTGTTGGATTCAGCCACTAGGGTCTGGGCAGATGCCAGTTGCTTCTGGCCTCTCCAAAAGGGGCCCAAGAGTTTAATTGACATGGCCCTTACTTGAACTTGATGAAGATCTGAACATCCACCCTTCAATGAACCCCGCCACCAACCACCCACTCCCAGAACCAAAGAGAACCAACAACTCACACAAACTCTCATGGAAAACCACAGCTGAGCTCCCTAGAGGACTCTCTGCCCAGAGCTGGGGTCATCTATCATCTTATCTCCCTGCAAATAACTCCTTGGAGATTTCTCCCCCAGGGGTAGCCATAGCTTAGCCCATGAATTGAGCCCTGCGTGGAGTCAGCCTCAGGTCTCCACCACTTTTGGGTCCCTCTGGACCAAACTCCATTCCTGTCCTGGACACCCCCTTCCTCCATCAGCACAATCATTGTGTTCCTTCCCCCCTTAAGAGCCTCAGTCCACCCCCCAGGACTTTGCAAAGCCAAGAGCAATGAATTCTGAAGCTCCTGGCCCATTTGAAGGCCTGGTGACAGTCCAGAGCTGGATGATCTTGGAGGGGAAGAAGCATCATATTGGGGTGGGATGAACATTACCTGCAGCCAGGAGAGAAGGGAGGAGGCCGAGGGCAAGCAGGACACCCATAACTGCTGGTCTTAGCCAAGCAAATTGGCTGGGATTTATAGGTTAGGTGGAGGATGAGTGTTGTGGGTAGTGTGGCGGCCGAGGGTGGTCTAAGGCTATGGCCAGTAGCCCGGACCGTCAGGTGGGTATTTTCCATGATGGAATAGAGTTAGGCACGGAAGCGTATTGGTTGTATAAAGAAAGCTTTACTTACACTTCCGATGGTCGCAGTGCAGGAAGAAAACTTGCTTGAATTACAGTTGCACACAAACACACAGGGATGAGATCTCTCTTCGAACCGAACCGAGATGAGTCGTCGGTGTACGACTCCACGAGCGCTTAACACGGGGGTACGTCAATATTTCCACGATGACGGGGAGTGGTTAGAGACTGATCAGGTCCCTAAGTCCTCCTCCAAGACACACGCGGAGTTTGCTAGGCTCCACAGCGTGCTTAGAGTTCCCCACGAGGTGGTTGTGGAGTCCTCCAACTTGGGCGGAAACTGCTCTAACCTTTTATACGGCTAGCAAACCAATCGCTAGCCGCCAGGTAGGAATAATTTAGAATTGACCAATAGTGGGACACTAATTTGCATACATGTGGCGGGAAATCTTTGCCCCGGGGTTTTTTCTCTGCAGCTGAGAAATCCACCTGCAAAGAAAGCTCCATGTGGCGGGAAAATTCCAATGTGCCGAGGCACTAAAAATCATTGGGTTGTGACAGGTAGAATCACATTTCTAATTGATTTTGCTGTGGCTGATGTCAGAGCTCCCAGGAGCCATTGGAGGCAGGCGCTATGAGCTCATTCCTTGGTACATCAGTCAAGATGGCTGTCCTTGCCCGCTGCCATGTACTCCTCCAAGCTTAGCCCACAATTCCCCTGCTACAGGTCCCCCCAGCTTGGTGTCTCCACCGTCTTGTATCTCCCCGCCTCTGCGCCTCCTCTTCTGCTGACTTTTGCCAGGTCCCTGAGGCCATGTCCTTCCGTGATGGCCCTGGGTGGTGGGCGCCAGGTGGAATGCAGCAGAACCCCTTGGGTTGTGTTGCCTGGGTTTTCTGGGGGTCTGAGAGCAAAATGTTTCCCTGCTCTCCAACAACCGGAGAGCAGAGCTCGTGTCAGCCGCACCTCTGGGGCATGGAGCCAGGACTTGGCTTCTGTGGCATGAGTAATTCAGGAGCCTGGCCTCGGGAGTCCTGGCCTCCTGCTCTCACCCCACAGACCCCACTTGCTTCCCCAAACTGGAAATAACACCCAGGTGCCCTGGTTCCCTAATCCCTGCCCCTTCAACTCACTAGACAGCGTTCCTCCCCGAGAGCTGGTAGCTTGCCAAGCTACTGAGCTCTGCACTTTCCCATTGATATCTTGGAGACGCTGCCTTTCTTCTCTGACACACCACTTGGGCCCCAGGGACCTCCCGTGTCACTCTTACCTTAGTGGGCCCAGCTAGCGAGGGCTCAGCTCCCTGCCGGCCCATTAGAAATAGCTTCTGAGACTAGATCCTCCCGGGGCCCAGGCCCTCGGCTCCCAGTTCTAACTTGAATCCAAGTGGATGAATCTCCCATCTCCCTCCCTCCCTTTTTCTTCAGTCTCAGGACCAACCCCCCAGATCTTGCCCCTTTAGTGCCCCCACTGGCCATCTCCTTCCTGCCCCAGGGATTGTGGGGCCTGCCCAGGGATAGTGTCCAGGCTCCCAGACTCCCTTTTCTAGCCACTCCCCTCCCAGAACTGAAGAGAACCCGGGCGTCCAGCCTCCACCCCTCACAGAGCTGGGACGCAGCCCAGGTGTCCCGTGTGCCTTCCCCCACCTTGAAGCTGGATTTTCCACTTATGCACTTGGCTTAGCTCCGGCTGCCTGCTAAGTGCAGCCTCTCTGCCCGGCCCAGGGTTCAAGTCCAACTCTCTATCGTCACTGAGACCTCTGCCGCGAAGCCTGGGAAATCTATTCTAAGCAGGCATTCCCGTGGGAACAAACTTCCCCACTCACAGGCTACATGCAGGGTTTTTTACAGGGGAAAAAAGGAGACAAAGACACAGCTGTAGAGGAGACAGTAGCTGCCGTAATTATTCGCATACCACACACTGCCAGGTGGTATACCTGACGCACTCCCTGTTTAGCCGGCGGGCAGGGGGGCAGGCGGGAGCACCAGTGCCCCACTGCGAGCGCCGGCCAGGAAGCAGGGCCACCAGTAGAAGCGACCACACCGCTTCTGGAAATGGCTGCAAGAGCTCCGGAAGTGGCACTGCTGCTTTTATGGTGAGTGAGATCAGATGCGGGGGACCCTGCTCCCGCCCAGCCAGCGGGATCAGCCGCTGGGGGACCCCCCCCGGTCACTGACTGGTGTCAGGGGGGTACGCAAATGGCTGCAGACGTAACTTTTCTTTCCCCTGCCAGAAACGGCTCTTACCATATTTTCTGCATTTTCTGCCCACTAACATTTTCAAATTTTCCTTTAAAAAAATCAACAATAAAGCACACGCTGTAGGTGAGAAGATACCTCAAGAAACAAGTGAAAAGGAAGAGCTGGCATTTTCCAAGAAGGCCCTAATGAGGTTGAGAACTGGGGGGTTATTGCCTCGTTAGTAGGATGGGCAACTCTGTCTAACCTGGTGGTGGAGAGATCCAGGCTGGTCGTGGAGCCGAAATGCCTGTTTCCCATCACTGATGATGTCTGGGTTGGCCAGAGCCCAGACCAAGGGCCCCAGGGCAGACGTCTCTGGAACCATCTCTTGCTCTGAGGTAGGAAGGGAAATCTCCAGCCTTGGCGGGGCTAGTTCAGACAGGGCCTGTTGCAGGGATGTGACCCCTTGTACCCAATGTTTCTATGGTTCGAACACCACCAGGTGACATTGTTAAGGGTCCTCCAGGCTTTTATTCAACTGCTGTCCTGCAGAGAAGACCCTTGCCCCTCAAAAGTCCCCTCTCAAGAGAAACAGCAGCAGGTGGCAGCCAGAGGGGGTGCCCCCAAGCTGGAGGCAGGCCAAGTGTGGTTCACAGCTCTCCGTGGGGTGCCGGGTAGCACACAGCCCGGGTGAGGGTGTCAAAGATGCCTCTGGCGTATTTGGTGACTCCAACGCGCTTCTGGCAGGCACCAGGGGTGCCACAGCCCGCAGCCGCCTTGGTCAGGGACATGTTACCTAGAAGAGAAGGAGGAATTCCTTCAGGGTGTTGGGAGCCCGGACGCCTGGGTTCGTTCCAGCTCTGAGAGGGCAGTGGGGGTTGACACAGGCATTACCAGCTGACAATGTCCCGGTGAACTCGACGCAGTGGTCCTCGGCCCCAGTGCAGGGTAGCGGCTCCATGCGTTTGCATTGGCCAGCTCCTTCCACATAGCATGATGGGCACAACCGGCCATTGGGGACAGAGCTCACGGATGGCACTAGGGACACATGGGCATAAGAGGTGAGCGGGGCAGGGAGCCTGGACGCCTGGGTTCTTCCCAGGTCTGAGAGGGGAGCGGGGTCTGGGGGGTAGAGTAGGGAGGCCGGCAGCCCAGACACCTAGGTTCTCCCAAAGTCTAAGATGGGAGTGGGGGCTGGAGGACTGGAGCAAGGGGGATTAGGAGCCCAGACACCTGGGTCCTCCCTCCACTCTGGAAGGGGAGTGGGGGTAGGAGGGGTGTGGTTAGAGCAGGGTGGGGGGGCTGGGATCCCAGACACCAGATGAGGTGAGCGGGAGCTGGGGATGAGAGCCAGGAGGGGAACCTGGGAGCCCGGATGCCTGGGTTCCACCTACAGGGCTGCCCTCGATACTCACACTCCACGACCCCCATGTTGCAGCCGTCCTCATGGCAGCAAGTGACATTCGCTCTTACGGTGACGCCGGGCCGGAAGGTGAGACTGAAATGCGTCGTCCTGCAGCTGCCCGGCTCCAGGCAGGACCTGAAGGCTATGAGCAGCGTCCTTCCCTCTAAAGGGGAGGGAGGAGCAGAGTCCATGGAAGCTCTCGGGGATCCCCCAACCACCCCCACAGCCCTCCCCCTCCAGCACTCACCCAGGGTGTAGTGCCCCATGCCGCTCATGCAGGCGTCCTCCCCCGGACCACAGGGCAGCACCGGGCCGGAGCAGGGTCCCCCCAGGCTGAAACACTCCTCACAGCTCAGGCCGGAGCCTGGGGAGGCAGGAGATAGGCTGCTAGAAAAGCCCCTCCCGTGCTTCCCTCCTTGTGCCCCATGGCTCCCTGCTTCTATTCTGGTGCTTCTGCTCCATCAGGGAGTCCTCTGGGGGGTGGGGTTCAAGTTGGGAGGAGAGATGGGTCACATCTGGGGGGCAGGGTGTCTGCCTGGTGCTGGAGTTCACCCATCATCTCTTTTTGTCCTCCCTCGCCACATGCACAGGGAACCCAGGCATCCGGGCTCTGAGCCCTCCCCTCCTGCCCCCCTGCTGTAACCCACCAGACCCCCCCACCCCAGCCCTCTGCCGTGAGCTCAGCACAAGAGGGGTAGACTGTCCGCTCTCCAGCCCGGATGCCTGGCTTCTCTCTGAGGCTCCCGGTTATGACAAGGGTCTGCCGGGTTGGAGCATGCAGGGTTGGGAGCCAGATGCCTAGGTTGTCTGGGAAAGGAGAGGGTCTGGGGGCTTTGAGCAGGGGGGGCTTAGAGGGATGCCTGGGTTTTCTGGGACAGGAGTGGGGTTCAGTGTGGAGGATGTGGGGTCTGGTGGGCTGCAGCAGTAGGGAGCTGGGATCCCAGACTCCTGGGTTTTTTCTCCAGCTCTGAGTGAGCTGGAGAAACAAGGGACTGGTGGGAGCAGGACATGAGGGAGGGGGAAACTGGGAGGTCCTGGGAGTTACTGGGTCCCCAAAGCCCACCCCACACCCCTCCTGCCCACATCAGCCTTTCCCCATCCAGTCCAGCCCCCCTCGCCTCCCAAATAACATGGCTGGATACCCCAGGAGGCCAGACCGCCTGCCAAGTTCAGACCCCCGGAGCTATGGGGGATACAGGGGCCGGAAGGACCAGCAATACCTGGAGCCAGCAGCGTAGCCAGGAGGCCGAGGATGAGTAGGATGTGCATGGTGCTGTACGTGGGCACCGGCGCCCAGGGGGTTTTATACTCTGGGGCTGGGTGGGGCACGCAGCTCTCACCAAACCTAATCCCCCGGGATCAATTCCTGCCGCACCTGGCGCCAGCTCTCCTGGCCCCGGTGCGTCGTTTCTGGCAGGCCTCCCTGCCCCAGCCCAAACCCCATGGCCCTCCCAGAGCTCCCCCATGGGCTCCCAGCCCCACCCTGCTCTCACCCCCTGAGACCCCACTCCCCTCCTCTCCCCTCCCAGGGCTGGAGACAATCCGAGGGTCCAAGCCCCCCCTGCCAGCAGATCTGATCCCCTCTCCTGCCAGGGCAGGTCCCAAGCAGAGTAGAAATCCAGGAACACCTGGTATTCATTACTTAATTAAGAGGCTCAGACCTCCCTGAGCTGGGACTGGAGGCCTCTTGATCAAGGCAGAGGCAGCCTAAAGGAGGGGCTAACAGCCCAGCTGGATACCCACTGGCACCGAAGCCAACCTTTAAGAGGCCTGGGGCCCTTGGGGCCCTTAACAAAGCCAGACCTAAGGAGGCATGGGGCCCAGCCCAAGCCAGCCCTGCTGCCCTAAGGCAGCCAGTCCTAATGAGGCGTGGACAGCCTGAGCTAGCTCAGATTCTGAGGGCTGGGGTTTCCCCAAGGGGCTCCTTTGCATCCCAGCAGCTCGTTAATTGATTCACTGACCAATTGTGCTCCCTAAGAGCTAGCCTAGGAAGCCTGAGGCCACAGGTCGCAGCCACGCCGGACATACTGCGTGGCCCCCAGCCTGGCTTCCTTACCCGTGCGGCTGGCACCCTACCCCACGCCCCTCCAGAGCTGGGGGAACCCAGACGTGGGTCTCACTAGGTCCTAGGGGTACTGAACACAGGAAGTGGGCAGGGGCTGCAGGGGAGGGGCTAAATCCAGAACCAATCAGGGACCCTGATGGGAAATTTGGGGTCCACCCCCAAATGACAGAAGCACCTCTCAGCCCCAGGGCCACCAGGGACCCACTGACAAGCTGGACCCCCATCTCATCTAGGTCCCCACCTGGGCGGAGCCACAAAGAGGTGTGGCCACCATCTTAAAGGCCCAGACACCCAAGTGGAGGAGGGTGCTGGGCTCTCTCCAGGGCTGGGAGGTGTGGCGCCTGGGGGGTGAGAGCAGGGCTGGGGGCTCCGACTCCTGGGTTCTCTCTCCAGCTCTGGGAGGGAAAGGAGGGGAGTCTGGGGAGCGGGGGCAGGGAGCCCCGGTGCCCAAGTCCTATTCCTGAAAGAGGGGTAGGAAGCGCTGCCAGGGGCCTGTTGTTCTTTAATGGCCTGAAATCCATTACAGACTTAACTAAGTGTGCAATTAGAGGGCGAGTGGGGCCCTGCTGCCCTCTGCTGGAGACCCCAGAGCCGTGCCCCACAGCCCCCCACCCCAGAGCCAGCCGCCCCCAGTGCTGGTCTACCTGGAGCTGGGAGAGAACCAGGGCATCCTGGCCTCCTCCCCGCAGGGAGCATGGGAACCCAGGCCCCCCCCACGCTCCCCCACACACGCACGCCCCCAGTCCCTCACTCCCAACCCACAGCCCCCTGCCCCCCCCAACCTGCCCCCCCCCCAACTCCTGACCTGCAGCCCCCTGGACCCAGGCCTTGCACGGCTCCAATCGCCTCCCCAGGCCTGCACTTCTCCCAGAGAACCAGGCATCTCAGCAGGGGGGATCCTGGCATTATGGGGCACGGGAAGGAAGAGGGGTGGGCAGGCAGACAGATGAATAGACAGCTGAATGGATGGACAGACGGATAGAGTTAGACAGACAACAGGCAGGTGGAAACCCCTAGGCGCCCAAGCCTCTCCCAGAGCTGGAGAGAACCCAGGAGGCCGAGGTGGCGCCCAGGGAGGCCAGCCCTGACTGCGACACCACCCCTCCCCGAATGGGCAAGGAACACAGGTGCCGGGGCTCCCAGCCCCCTGCTCTCACCCCCAGACTACTGCCCTCCCAGAGACCCCAGGCATCCTGGATGATGGGCTTCCTTTGAGGGTGCAGCCCCAGTGCCCCTCACTCCCGAACTGCTGCCCCTCAGTCCTGCAAGTGCTCCTCACTCCCGACCAGCAGCCCCCCACCCCGGCACGTTCCCTGGGCAAAGTCCAGCCAGGGCGGGGAGCGGAGCCACCCACTCAAATATTGACCCTCGTGGGGCCTCGCCCTGGGACTCAGGTGGTGGTGGGGAGTGCCGATGCCCCTCATGCCCAAGCCGCGGCCCCCTGCCCTCCAACCCTGCCAGTGACCCTCACTCCTGACCCACAGGCCCCTTTCCCCCCCAGCCCTGCTGGTGCCCTTCACTCCCGACCCTCAGCTCCCTGCCCCACCGATACCTAGCTGGGGGGCGGGGGTTAGGGGTCTCTGCTTTAACCTCCCCTCCCCCCCCGTACCACCATGTCCTACCAGACGGAGATCAT